GGCAGTCGTGGACGCGGGGCAGAAAGGCCGGCAAGAATACCGCAGGCGGAGGCCATGCCAATGGGCAAGGCTCGCCACTTGCCAGCCATCGCGCGAGGGTGTCGGGAACACGCACCGGCTGCGCAAATGATGGCATAGACGATGACCAAGAACGTCCAGCAAGCCAGCAGGATGAGCGCCACATAGATGAGAACCTTCCACCAGGTGATGGGTCTCCGGAAGACCGAGGCAATGCCGGACCCGATGGCTGGCAGGGGGCACCGCGTGCGCAGGGCAAAATGATGGGAGGGGGGGGGGGGGACGGGGCGGGACAGTTCACGTGGAACAGTCAGCGCACGGGAAGGGGGGGAGCAGGTGCCAGATGCTCCCTTGTCAAACCATTGCAAGCGCAAACACACACACACACACACATCGCCTGCTGGGCGACAGGGCTTCAAGGGTGGGCAAGCCCAGATGCACGTACTTCGGAAGAAGCCACGGCGCTTGGCCGGGGCCACGGAGATGACGGAGGCCGCTGGCGACCCTATCGCGCCACGGGCCGCGGCCGGGCCCTCGCCGGCGGGACGCACCGAGACGTCCCCCGGATCGACGGCGGCCACGCCGACCTGGGACTCGGGATCAAGAGGGCCGGTCCCCGGCGGCGGGGCCCCATATGGCCCGGGGGTGCTTGGACGCGAGGGCAGCGCGAGCCCCGGCGGGCCCGGGTCACCCCGGTCATGCACATTCACCGGGTAAAGGGAGTAGGCTTCCGCACGGCGTGGCCCGGTGGGCGTGCCAGTCAAGTGGGGGTAGATCGGCTGCCGAGGATAGCCCCGGGGGTCATACTCCTGATTCAGCTGCTGCGGTTGCTGTGTTTGCCGGGGCTGCTGTGACTGCTGCGACTGCTGCGACTGCTGCGGCTGCTGCGGCTGCTGCGGCTGCTGCGGCTGCTGCGGCTGCTGCGGCTGCTGCGGCTGTTGTTGATGGTGATGGTGGTGGTACATGGCTCCGGTCCTCAAAGATCACAGATCCTGCGCGCTGGCGACCAACTGTGCATAGCGTTGTTGCCGGAACGACGCAGAGTCAGCAAGGGCGGCACAGAAGGCCGAGGCAATGCCCAGGCACAGGTTCGGCGACTCGGAGCTCAACAACGTTCGGGCAGTACGAGCAGGTCGAGCCAGGGGGCGCACGCAGGCACTCAGAGAGCCCGATGCAGGGAGATCGGCTTTCGGTGAGGGTGGTATGCCCAGGCGGTGAGTCATGCGCCACTGCGGAGGGAGGGCAGCATAGGATGGCGACGGAGAGAGGTAGACGGTAGCAGGGCGGCAAGGAGGCAGGAGGGTAGCAGGGCAGGGGGGGGAGGGGGGGGGGGCGGGGAGCCAGTGCGCAAGGCTGACTTCAGAGGCGTTTTCATGTCTCCGCACCCCAGAGGCAAGAACGGGGCCTCACTTGAGCCCCGATGCCTTGCGTGTGTGAGCCCTGCTGAAGGGCCGGCGCCTCGCGCGTCAGCCCCGAAGGCCTGTCCTCGCCCAGCCTCACATCGAGCAGCACACCTGCGTTGAGCCCCCGCGCCAGCGAGGGGGGCGGGCGTCGGGGGGAGAGCTGCTCCGGCGATGAAGGTAAGCACCAGACGCCCGGAGGCACCATGCTTCTTGGGTCCATGGCATTGCGTCGGTGAGCCTGCCAGCGCCCAGGCCGAGCTGCAATTAAACGGTCATCTCCTGGCGGGCGGAGGCCGCGCCGCTCGGGTGATCCAAGAATCCCCGGGTGCTTTGCGCCACGATCCCCCCCCCCCCCCCCCCCCCGACCCAGGCCGGGGCTGTTGCTGACGAGCAGGGCACCCTGCTTCGCCGGACTGGAGCGCGATCGCGAGCCCGCAGGCCGACGGGCAAACGCCCTCCCGGGCCGCCATGCACCGGTCTCGGCCCCGGGGCCGGGGGTGACATGGGCCTCCAGGCCCGGGCCCGGGGTTGATTCGGCCCTCTGGCCTGTTGTGAGGGCCTCCCGACCGGCGAGGGGCCATGCCTCGGGCGCCATTCGCCGCAGACCTTGTGCTTTCGTGGAGGCTGCCCATGGGCCTTTCTTTTCATTTGGCCTGTTCTTGCCTCGTCTTTTGTCGACCGCTCTCCCCGCGCCATATGCCGCCCCCGCCCCCTTGCAACACTTGGCCATTCTGTCAGGACCTTAAACTGCCTCACCCACAATTGAAACATCGGATGCAAGCCTGTTTTGCGTCCCCCCCCCCCGCTCCGGCGGCCCGACGACTTGTTCGTTGGCGCACGGTCGCGACCGCGATGGTGGCCGCGACCCCTGCACTGAGGCCTGCCGCGTCGCGCGGCACCGGCCGGCCGACGCCCAACAAGGTGAGGACGGTCCTCGATCGGGACGGATGGTTGCACAGCATTCGCTGGTCGGGGGCGGGGCGCGCGTTTGGATCAGGTACTGGTGAGCCGCCCCCCCCCCCCCCCCTACCCCGGGGGGACAGGGCGAGGGCACTTCATCCGAGACAGGATCATGGAGCGCATCTATTTTTCGGCCAGAGGCAGCCCCACCCGAGGCACCTCGTCCAGGCGGGACTTGGCGGATTTATTGTTTTTCCGCCCGGGCCCGGCGTTTCCCCCAGATGGGGGGGGGGGGGGGGGGGGCAATAGTAAACAAGATTCGGGATGCCCCCCGCCCCCGTGCCTTTATTTTGCCAGGGAGAACGGCCATCGCCGCAAGGCCTGCCAGACCGAACCCATTCAGCCCAGGGATTGTGTGTCAGTGTCTCGACTATCTCTTTCTCTCTCCACCTCTCCCTCTCCCTCCCCCCCCCCTCTCTCTCTCTCTCTCTCCATCTCTCCCTCTCTCCCTCTCTCCCTCGCCTGCGGCCCCCAGAGGTGCACAAGAGTCTCGCCCGGAAGGACCATTCACACCCGACGGTGCGTCATATCCGAGGGAAACACAACAAACATACCCTCTGGGCTGATGCGCCATCAAAGAGGCATGACCCCCGCGGTGTGGGACACGAGCTGGCTCTTTCATCGATTTTGAGTGTCTGCCTTTGCTCCTCAGCTGGGCTCGAGCGAGCGGAGGCGGCCGAGATATGCAAAGGCGGCCTTTGGCGGGAAGGCACAACGCAACGCGGCGTGACTGCTTGTGCGCCGCCCCCGCCCCCGGCCCAGTCCCTGCTCCTTCTCACTCCCTCCCTCCCTCCCTCTCTCTCTCTCTCACACACACACACACGCACGCACACACAAGAGCCACATCCGCCATGCCACCCCCCGCCCTTCGCCTTGCCCGCACCGCAGGAAGCATTTGAAAAGGAAAACCCCCAACAGAGACACATCGGAATACACGGGGCTTTCTTTTTGGTGAGGCGCATTTAGGCGTGACACGGACATTACACGCCGCCAAGTGGCGAACGACGCCTTCCTGCATGCGGAGGAGACCCCCTGCTGGAGCATGCGAGGCTCACTGGGCTTCTTCTCAAATGTGTGCGCACACACATACACACACACAACCAGGCGCGCAAACAGCCATATTTGTCCGTGGAACCTGGGCAAGGCAGCCACAACCGAGGGCGGAGGGCGCGCAGCGTCTCGCGAGGACGGGGGCGCGCGAAGGGAGGCGAGGCTCGGAGCCCGGCCCGGCGAGCGCCCGCGTGGTGCTTGTGCCCGGCGCGATGCGCGCTCAACCGGCTCCACGGTTCTGGACCTCCGCCCTGCCCCTCCTACTTACGCCTTCTCTCGGCTCGCCTGTCCCCGCGCACGCGCGCGCACACGCACACGCACTCGCACGTGCATGTACGTATGTGCGTCGGGCCATTGCCCCCCTCTCTTTCTCGGCGTCACACTCGCCTCGCCCCTCGCGCAAATCCCGGCGGCCTCACTTGATGTTGATCTTCTCGTGGGCACCGTGGATCTTGTGGGAGGAGGTCCCGTCGGTGGCGGTCTCGCCGAGGGACCCCCGGCGGGCGGACTTCGGCGAGTGGGGCCCGGCCTCGTCGGTGGCGCCGCGCTTGAGCATGTTCATGCCGGCCTCCATCCACATGGTGATCTTGGTGGTCAGGGTGTTGTCCCAGATCTCGGCGGTCTGGGCCTCGACACGCAGCAGGCACAGCTCCGGCGACTCCTTGCCCTTGGGGAAGAAGGCGTCCCAAGCGTGGGTGTAGAACTCGTCGATCTTCTGGCGGTCCTTGTTGATGATGGCCTTGCCGCTGATGGAGATGAAGGAGCTGCTGCTCTGGAAGGAGACGCTCACGTGCGGGTCGAACTCGATGTCGGAGCACTGCAAGATGGGCCGGCGTGTGCGAGAGTCCCATTGTGCGTGTGCGTGTGCGTGTGCGTGTGCGTGTGCGTGTGCGTGTGCCAGAGGAGGGAGAGGTGAGTATGCGGCGAGCAGCCCCCCCTGCCAGGCAAAGAAAGGATCATCCATGCTGG